GCGAGGCGTTCCTCTCCGCGCTCCCCGTGCACCTGCCCCGGGGCGCAAAGGAGCTGAGCACCGCTCTGGGGAGCGCGCGCGGAGGGGCGGCGGGGAACGCCGTGGGGCAGCGGCGGCCCGGTTCGCCGGAGTTGCGCCCCTGCGGTGCGTGCCCGCGGCCGCTGCAGTCCCCGATCCTCAGGATGCGCGCCCCCCCCCCGTGCTCCTCAGAGCTGGTCGTGGGCAAGGAGGGGCCGCCGGGCCGCTCTTCCCGTGTTTGCTTCCAGAGCAGCTTGACCTCTGCGCCCAAAGGGCGCTTGCTCCCCAGTAAGCATTCTTAGGATCCGCGCAGCAGCAGCCCTTCCCACTGGATCCTTCCCGTCGGAATGATCGATGCTGTGCTTTAGGGCAGTTAAAAAGAGGAAACGGCCACGTGCTCGGAGGTCGTTTTTTGCCAACTTCCTTTTATTGGTCTGGAGAATATTCCTCACCACGTGGTGTTACCAAACCTCACCTACCTTCAGTCTGTCAAAAGCAAGAATTTATCACATCTGTCTCTCCAAGCCTGTAGGGACCCCCTTCCGTGGGTGCCCCAAACTGGGCCCCCGGTCTGGCAGTCTCCCTGGTCACTTCTCAAATGAGGTGCCCGTTGAGCCGGTGGCTGGCCTGGAGCACCGCTTCCAGCCCCATCTTCGCCTGGGCTCAGACCCCACTTCCGCCTGGGGCTTGGGCAAGGTGGTTTGCCACAGTCTCTTGGTTTGTTTTCGGGAAAGAGAAGTGGCTGTCTTTAGCAAGGCCACTTCTAGGCTCGTGACTCTGAAGGTGCTTGGGGAGCTCATCTTCCAAACCCAGTTGTTTCAAAATGCTTGCGCCGAGTTCTCTGCCCACCCACAGCAATATTTAGCAAGAAATGTTACTCATAAGCCTCCGTGTCCATAGTTTCCTTGTGGGCTGGTCAGCTATTGGCGCATGCGCTGATTGCTGCCGTTACCATAACTCAGCTTGGAAGCAAACTTTTGTGTTTTGCAAGAGCGTAGTTGCAAGATAAATCATACCTTAGTTTTTAAAAATATGAATGATAATCTCCAACGCTGCTTAGATCTAAGTGTCACCACAAGTGTCCAAAACCCCTTTTCTGTCCCTCCACCTCAGAGCACTTTCTTGATGTCATTGGGAGGATTCTAGAAATCCTAAATGGACCAAAAGCACATGCAAAGAATTTGTAACAGTTTGCTCTTGAATTCACATCTAACCTATCTTGAGAGAATTGGCACAAATATATTCAAAATATTAAATTCCCCCATTTGAACTACACCAGTATAATTTTCCCTATATCCAGTAACATTTTCTAGAAAATAGGAATTTTTGAAAGGGAGCAGAACTCTTAGATGACTTTTCTTCTCTAGCCATTCCCTCAATGTAAATCATGAAAGGATAGACATTTTTGCATATAACTGATTAAAATTTGTAATGAAGACATCGCCTATTTATCGGTTTTTCCTCAGCAGAGTTGAACAGACGTTGAAGGATCACCTTGTCCCATAGGTGACTCTAAGGGCCCTGACCTTCTGGTGCCTGTACTTTGCAACCAACTGATTCTCGCTCAGCCGGTTTTCCCGGCGTGCACACGGTCGGGCGGAGAGCAAGAGACTCGGACTGGGAGAGACGGCTCGGCTCAGCAGCGTGGCAGGAAGTCGCTCGGGGGCTTTGTGTGGCGAGGGCACTCGCAGAGCGATGCCCGCCGTGCAGTTCTGTTCAGAGGCAAGTCTGATGCACAGGCGCAGCCTGCTCGGCCCTCTCCCCACTGCAGTGGGTGGGAGCCGCCACTGCTGGGGCCCCGTGTGACGCGACAGGAGCCGCGACCGGGGACTGGGCAGCCCAGGCTTGGCTGTGAGCACGCCAGTGCCGCGTCCGGCCTCGCGCTCCTTGCCCATGCCTGTGACAGGCCGTCTCGGCACCCGACAGCCTGTGCAAATGCGGGTGAATGAGGCTGGGTGGACGTTTGCCACGCGGGTGCCTAAGCTCGCAACCGAGCGTGGCGTCGGCAGGCTTCCCGTTTCGGTGCAGATATACAGATTGGGCGGCCCAAAGCATGTGGAGAGCATGTGGCGTGCAGAGTTGCTTGTTAATTTCTGAGGAGGTTTGGGGTTACTGGGATGGGGTTCCGCTCTTGGCAGAATGACCCGTGTGACGCCATCTCATGGAGACGCTCCCAGGAGCTCAGGTGTTAATCTGTGAAGTGTTGGGAGAGCTTGCTTTGAAACAATTGGGTGCACATTAATTTCCTTTGCAAAAGGAGACCCCCCCCCCACCGGCCCTCCATCTCCTTCACAAATGAGCCCTTTTAAACTGATGTTTAGTTCTGTAGACAGGCTGTGAACATTCACAGAGGGGCAATTCCGCATTGCAACAGAATCCAGAGAGAATCTTGTAGCACCTTCAAGGTTGTTAGATTTTCTCTGGAGCCTGGTTTCAGCAGCTAGAACTATCCATGAAACCCTAGACTGTAATAAACTTGTTAGTCTTTTAAGGTGGCACAAGACACAGCATGGTGCTTAATATGGAAAACCTGCTGTAATTGGCTTTTTTATCTGTAAATTCTCTCTTGGCTTTCCTTCTTTAAAACTGATGAAATATTTGCACAGCCCACAAACTGGCCGCACCTTTCCATCTTGTCAGCATGTGTCTGAAGCCACCTGGCACCTTGGCAACCGGGGTTTTTGTATGGTGAAGTCACATCACGGTATGAACGTAACTGTGCTTGGTTTGGTGCAATGCTGCGTTCTGGCCAGCAGATGGCAGTGCAGGACACGGTTCTGCCTTTTGGGCACCTGGATAAACCCGTTCCCACAACCTAGAATGACACCATGCTAGCAATTTCAGCACAGCTTCCCCTTCCCTGCCTTGTTTCTCTAATGCAGGTTGTTGCAACCCCCTGGATAAGTCTTTAATTGTATGCTCTGCATGAGATCCAACCCACGGATGGTTAAACACCCCAGAAAGTCTGCATTTTCATTTTATTTCCCAATGAAAACTATTGTGGTGGCAGCTCCAACTTTGGGCTTTGTGTGGGGCACTGGAGTGACTGACCAAATGCACTTAGCTGCATCCTGCTTGTTAGCTGAGACCGAGCGCCACCGAAATCGGAGCAATTCTTTCTCAATGACTGCCTCTCGCAATTGGCACGTGCAGCTTTTGTGTGGATCTGTGTCCACGGTTGGGGTGACAGAGGGATGCCCGAGAGCCACTGCTGCGCCATGTCCCGATCTGGGGGCGCCGCTCAATCTCCGCCAGCCACCTGGCCGCCTGAGGGTTGTTGGTGAATGCAGAAGAGGGCTTGCTCATCCGCGGCCCTGACAGGAACATGCATGTGGAGCCCGGAGCCTTTCCGTCATACCAGCCTTTTCAGAATATATCCAGCCCTCCCCACCGCTTGGCCTGGAAGCCCACTGGGAACCTCTTCCTTTTCTGGAGGCACCCTGGCCTCACTTCCCACCTCAGCATCACCCTGAGCATTCTGCCGGATCACGTGGTGAGTGGCAGCGTGTCCCCAGAAGTTTTGTAGCCGGGGATTGTCACCCACCGTGTTTTTGTGCGCCTTTTCGCTTGCCCAGCCTGCTGGACTCTGCCCTCCCTAATGGAGAGAGAGCACTCCCCCAGCAAACCTCCCTGGCCTTCCTTCAGGGTTTATATTCAGAGATGACCGTATCTCCATTCCACCAGGTTTCTGTAATCCCCACTATATTTAGGCTCTTCTTCAAAACCAGGCACTACGGCTCTCCTGGTCCAACTCTGAGGCTTCTGCTCTTGCCTAGGAACACCTGTGCCCCATGCCCTTCTCGGGATGCACCTGGCGTGCACGGATCCTGCCTTGGCTGGCTGTGGCGCTTTGCCCTCTCCGGGCCACCTCTGCCACATCTGGCCAGTCAGGAGCGTGTCCATTCGCATCCCCTCGGAATGATTTCTCCTGGCCAGCCTGACTCCTCCCGGCTTTCCCCAAGCGGGGCTCCATTTTGACACCGGCTCTGCCACCTTTTCTGCCGCTGCACTACAAGTCTGCTTCCAGTTTGGTTCACGTGGGCCCTCCCTCCTTGGCAGCTCTGCCTGCCCCCAGATGTGGCCCAGTGCCCAGCAGGATCGGAACCTCGCAAGAGCAGTGCTGGATTGCCTTCCCTTGTCCGCAGCTCACACCAGGGGACTCGCTGCTCGACCGACTGCCGTCCACGGCTCACGCGCGGGGCAATCCTTGCCCATTTTACAGATCTATTTGTTAGCAAGACTCCCGTGCTGCTTCGCCTAGGAAAACCTCAGCCAGAGCGCTGCCGTGGCCCCAGGCGAGGCCAGAGAGCAGCTCCGATGCTGAAGCTGGGCCTCTGCGCTTGAAGCACCTCCGCCCCCATCACAGCAGGCGGAGGCAGAGCGAGAGCATCGCTGGTTCCCTCCCGAAGGCCCGGGAGCGACTCTGGGAAGGGGCGTCAGGGGTACGGAGGGGAGGGGAGGAGTCCAGCCTTGGCACTGCACCCAG